GGGGGGGGGGGGGCTTTTTTAAAAAAAGCCACAAAACCCCCCCAGCCACACGTCATCGCTGCAGCCAGAAGCGCCCCTGCAAAGCGTTAATGCCGCGGCACTCACAGCACCGGTTTCTCCTTTCCTTCTCTGTTGCCATACAGTGAAATTAAACTGGTTGGAGTCCTGGGTCATTTTATGCAACCAGAGAAAGATGCGAGGGGTTCAGCCCATGGCATACAACTTCCCTGGTCCTCAAAAGATGGGCACATGTGTGCAATACCTGAAGGAGATCTTCTGAGCAAGCAGTCTCATGTCTATTTGTATGCTTGAAATTCAGCACATGCATGAAACTTAGCAGGACTATGGTTCTTTTTATATTTTTAAACTCTCTAAGTGGCTTTTTAAAAGCTATAGGAAGGTGTTTAACTTCAACAATGAGCACATTTCATAAACATTTTCTAAAGAGTATCAATTTAAAAAAAACCCAACATTTTGTGGGTGAGAAGGGGCAGGATTTCTTCATTGTTTCATGCTACTTATTTGATCTATTTCATTAACACTCAGGTACGTAATGAATTTTTCCCAATTTTCTTCCACCATTTCACTGGGGGATTTAAATATTTTTTCTGTGTGTCCCCCCTCACCCCTTACATTGATACAGCATTTGCTTTTTATGACTTCTTTGCCTACCTCCTGAACTACTCATAACTATTCAAAATAAATGTTCAAAGTACAATAACAGGAGAATGCCTCAACATCTCCAAAGGGTGAATATCTCAACACAGCATATTATGGTTGAATTTTCCTATAAGTCTTTACCTACTTTTAGCAAGATGTATTTTACAGCCTTATTACTTCCTAATTTTTTCTCTTAAATAAGAAATAAAGCTCTCCAGGTTTTTATTTCAATTTTTTTTCCAGTCTGTATTGATTTTAGATTTTTCTAGAGGTTCACAGTTCATGCAATAATTCACTTTGTTTTCAGCATTTACCTTTGCTTTAAATGTCAGAGCCTTTCACTTCTGTTACTCTGATTTCCTTGCTGCCTCTCTTTTCTCTGCAAGCCCTAACTGATTGTGTATTTTGGTGTGGTCTCCCCATCTTTTTCCACTTCCAATAATATTTTGTAAACCTCATTGTATCTTTGAACAGTTTTTTTTTTTTTTTTTTTTTTTTTTTTTTTTTTCAAAAACCACACTGGCCCCTTTTTTTTTTTTTAAATTTTTTTTTTTTTTTTTTTTTTTTTTTTTTTCTTCTCAAAAACCACACTGGCCACTTCTTGTTTTTTGTAATCTTCTTTTCAGAGGAACTGCAGCCTGCTGTACATTGGCTATGAAGTCTTGGCAGTCCCAACTCTCCTCCCACGCAAAGGGATTCCAATAGATCCTGTTGCGGCACGGTGCTCATTGACTTCAATAAATCCACTTGATGGAATTAAGGAAATCCAGTGCTCTGACTTGACCCTGACCATTTATTTCATATCAGGTTGAATTCAACCAATATTTTCATCCCTTACACATTATTCTCTTTTTTGCTGTCAATGACACGTTCTGAGGTGTTACTTCAGAAAGGCAACTAGACACAAACACCTGACTTCAGGTTTTAAAGACAAGCAACAAGCTGATGTAACAGGAGATGAGTGAGAGAACAATGTTACAATAAAGAGATGCCTGAATATATATTTATTCAGTACAGATGATAAAATATGTTTTCAGTACTTAGGAATATGTCTGATACAAATGTAGACTGGCAAAATTCAAAGAAATAACATTTCTTGGAAAGTTAGGAATTCAAAAAGAGCTTATGACCATCTTTCTTAATATTTTATTATTCTGAAGCGAAACCCTTTACAGATTGAGCTAACTGGATGACTATTTCAGTTAATACCAGCAGCTGAGACTATGACCAACTTAGAACGGACAACATTTAACCAAACAACATTGCTCCAGGTGTTTAATGATTCTCCCTGAAAGCCATTAACGACATATATTTGAAGTTTCAAACTTCCATTCAACATCCTATTTATTACTACTTACGCACAATTTTTTTAACGAGTAAATACATGTGCATCAAGCTGTTTCTTCAGTATTTCATATTACAGGAACTGCACGCCATATTTTGAAAGCACATAACTGAACTGACAAAAGAAAACAGTTGACATTAAAAAATTGTTTGAAAAGTCAGTGCACTGTTTCTGAAAAGTCCCACTCAAAATGACTGTAAATACAGAAAGAATACATTATTACTGCATGTTTTACTTGCAAGTCATGATTTCAGTTACAAAATGAAACCCACTACTCACCCCCCAATACAAGACCACTTTCTACCAGTTGCTCTCTTGTTATAGCTTCCTGCATCTTATATCTCGTCCCAAAATGAAAGTCAGTGCCAAATCTTCCCTGTTGGGAAGATAGGTCTTGATCTTTGTGTAACCATATCTTAATGGCAGCAAAATTGTTCTTTCCCCCTGAATCCCTATTCCCCTCCACACAAATTCAATAACTGGTGGTGAAAAGCGGACTGACTAACAAGAGGGAAGAGGAAGGCAGTGGTAGTGAGCCCATAAGAACAAGAAAAGGCAAGAAGAGTAAGAAGGAAGCAGCAAAACCAATGATATATTGTGCTCCTCCTTACTTCTGACTATGCGAGAGGCTATTAACTATTCTACTCCTTAACACCAAAGAATACTTACTTGAACAGTTTTTTAAAAAACTTCTACTAATCTTATAAACTCGGAGCGCACTTCTGTTAATTGCCAGTGAAAGGAGAGCTTATTTCAAATGTGAAGGTTATCATTAATATTCCAATAGAGTGAGAAACAAAAGAGGCAGGAACATCTTTCATTAGAAAAGAAGAAAGAAAACAAAAGCCTCCCAAGAAATCAGACTTACAACCACTAAAACTGTAGATAACAGAAAAAAGTGATAATTTTTAAATGCAAAAGAAGCAGTGTCCTCCTCCATATTGTATCTGAACACTTATTAGTCAGCTGTATGTAGTAACGTTTATTACATACTTCTCAATAGTTTATAGAAGTTGAGTCTTCCAGTCACTTACATCAGTATCACTCTACATCTAGAAAATAACAGATTGATACACTGAACAACAGGAGTAATACTCAAATTTAAGGCGACATTTGCTAAAAATACATTTCAATGTATTTGTAACAAATGAAACTGAGATTGCCGCACACCAATGAATATTTCTTCATGAACATACAGCCAAGAAGAGTGTATGTAAACAAAATTGGCTTAATCCCCTCCACAGAATGAAATACAGTAGACAGAAAACCATTTTATCAAGGTATTTATGACCAGAAGTCTCACTCAGCAGGATACCCCATACCATTACTCAAAGAGTTGTATCTCTCAATTTCTTTTTCAGTGAAATTCCTTTTGTTTTCTTCAGTCTTCAAAGGAATTGAAGAAGCACAGAAAAGATGGGTGACATTTAAGCACATTTGTCTTTTGAGTTGCCTGCATTGTACTGTTGTCTATGTTTTCATCATTGCTGACGAAGAAGCTTGAAAACAGGTCAATTGCAAGTGCATGCTGCTTTTAAATTTGTTTAGTAACTCTTCTAGTAACCTGTAAAAGGAAAATAGTTACAACTTTGGCAGATTCTGAAAAGGGAACAACTACCAAAAGTTTTGACTATTCTGTCTGTGACTTCAAGTACATTGTCTGCTTAAATAAAGGGCCTAAAATTGGATCTATTCAAATATCATATTATAGATACTTAGAAGTATACCAAGTGTGTCAGGATGATCTGTGGCCAGAGGAGGACTTTGCCACAGAGATTTTATCAAGGTGATAAAATAGCCCTTTATATGGCTTTCCTTCCAGATAAAGATCATCAACTTGAGAGAAACATATTTGCAAAATACAGTGGCAAAAGGACTGGTAGAGAGTGTCCTAAGACAATTCTGTAAGGAAAATCCAGAAACTGCCAGACTATGTACCATAAAACCAATATCCCTTATCAAGGCTACAGCTTTTCGTGTGTAGCTGAATTGCGAATTTCAGTTCTCAAACTTGTCTTTGGAAGGTATTTTGTAGATTTCTCCTAAGTATCGTGGCTGAAAGATCAGAGTTGACTGTTCTAGGAGAAACACTAACTCACTGGCAACCATGGGGTTTTGTCCTTTATAGATAACAAACTCTGTACGAGTTCACTTTGGAGCATAACAATGGTTCGTTCATATCTACATTGCTGCCAAGAAGGTACTTGGTGCAGCGGATAATATTTATTATAATCCACAAACTACAGACATAGGACCAAGGCTGTTGATGGCTCTGCTGTAGGAGATATTTATTGTAACAGTGAACATGCATTATGAAGTTTTACAGTCTTGGGCAAGAGTCTGTTTTATTTTCCCTGTATTTTAGGGAAGAATGTGTTCTCCAAACTTTTTGCTCTATTTCAAAAACAAGCTAGATAGGGCAGACATGTATCACCTCAACCTTTTGGCAAGCTGTGATTATTGAACAGCAGTAACAGCAGAAATTACACTGTATGTTAAAAAAACCCAAACAAACCCAAGAACAACAACTTGAACCACAAAAAACAGTATCTGCTTCCTCAGCAGGTCCTCTGGAAGATGACTATGGCCGCATTCATCATTTAGTATCATAGTAATGACTGTGAATGAACAGAAGTTAACAGCTCTAAATCAGTGCACAAATGTGTGTTATTTTTTAGATTACAATGAGCTACCTGGAACAATGACAATTGTGGTGTAACGACCTGGGAAACAGAACAAGTTTTGCACTGTCTAAGGCTCAGAACTCGAAGGCAGATATAAAAATGATGCAGTTCTTGATTCTCATCTGTCCCATGAAGCTCAAATGGTTGTGACTAAGTGAAAAAAAATTTGTACAGGTGTTTCGGAAAGTCTGAGTTGAAAGAACTCTCCTTACTCAAAACTGATTCCTATCTTTAATAAAGCATAAGAGCTAAGTAAGGCAAGGAGGCATCTTGAGACTTGTTGTGGCTAGTGAGGAGTAGGTTTGAATAAATAGACAGAGGACACCTGAAGAAGGCACAGTCCGCAGACCACGGGCTGCACAAACAGTCTCTTCATGTGTCTACAAAATATTCTAAATTGTGACTGTTAAGTGCCAACTGACTGATGCAGTTCAGTTCCTGAAAGTACCCTAATACCAATCGCAAGGTCAAAACATCTATACTTACACTAATATACTCATTACAAATCCATCCTTAGTTTTACCATACTGCTCCTTACTAAGCTACGCTTGTAAAACAGACTACCAAATACTAGATTGGATGCAGCAAAGCAGCTTGGTTGTCAAAGATTCCTACAGTGGGGAAGGAAGAACCAAAAACTCCTCCTCCTGATGTGAAGAAAAGAACCACAGACCCTTCTTATTTGTTTTTAAAGTGAAACAGGCCAGTTTTAAGAGTTCCCTATATATTAGCTGGCAAAAGCTGGGACTTTGTTCCTTGGCCATTTTTTTTATTGCTGCTAAATTCAGTAAGATAAGACAATGGACCTCACAGAAACTTTAAGATTAACAAGGAAGGGTACAATAGACTGAAATTACAAAATAAATACAAAGCTACATTGAATTGATAAGATTAGGATGGGCAAGAGGGATAATGCCACAAAGCCATCAGCTCTTCTGTGTAATTTAATAGGCCATGATGAACACGAACTTAGCCTATTCTTAACTCTGTCCAAAGAGGCTTCTGCTCTCTAATTCAGAAGGGTCAAATACAATGAACATTAACCCTCTTATAACAAAGTTCTGATACAAGAGTAAAAAGCAATGGCTCCAGAGACCAAAAAGGAGACAAGAAGGTGCATTATACTCACTTTTTGTCAGTTCCACTTGAGAGCTGAGGCAAGGCTTCCAAAGCTTGCTTAAAGCTCGAGCTGCAAAGCAAACAAAAATATGCATATTCCACTGGTACAAGTCTCAGCATTCACAGTTTCTCCCTATAAATTCCATGAAGATATGCTATATTTTATCCATTCTTATTTCAATAAATTAACAAAATATTAACTTGAGACCCGACATTCATGCGCAAATTGAACATAAAGTGGTCATGGGTTCAAGCAGGCCTCTTGACACTCCTAATGTGATGTATACCATACATCAACAAGAAATGTTAAATCAGCAGCTGATTTAAGACCGTGCTTGACATCCTGGACTCTTCAAGAATTACAGATAGTTGCCAGCCTGCCTTCTGCCTCAAACTAAGTGTCCATCAGAGTATGAAGCACAGACAAAACATTGATTTTGGCTTTCTGTGCTCAGTAGACAGGTCACTGCGTTCTCCCCTACAGAAGGGGGCCTACACAGAGAATTACAGTACGTTTGCATTGAGGAAACGTAGATTCATGGAATAATTTAGGTTGGAAGGGAACTCTGGAGGTCTTCAGGTCCAACCCCTCTCTCAAAGTACGGCCAGCTTTGAGGTTAGAGGAGGTTTCTTGGTGCATTATCTAGTCAAGTTTTGAGTAACTCTAAAGATGGGGTTTCCACCGCTCTCTGAGCAACAGATGTGGAACAGAAGTGCAGGGAACAATGCAGGACCTGCACAGACAGGTACAATCTTGTCAGCAAAAGATTAATATGGTGACTTGTGGCAACTACTACTAGCAACAAGTCCAGGAACAAAAAGGCATCTGTGAAGCTCCAGCTTCCAGGGTTCACTGTACTTTGCCCCTACGCTATTTAGAGACAATACCACTCCCATTTTATCCGATTTGAGCCAGCACCAAGTAGTGTTCATTAAGAGGTCTTCATCACTATCGGGCACTCAGAATAGGGAAGCAAGTCTTTCGAAAGGGAACGCAGTGACACCACAGGACACTATCTGTGACACTATGAAGACACATTAGGCCCTCAAGACCTGCAACATCTCCTACAAAATGTTTATTAGGTAAGATGACCAAATTGCCATCTGCGGGAACATGTAATGCCAATCCTAACAGAAGTGTAAGCAATTAAAATAATGAATGAACCTGCCCATATTCAATCCCCAACATAATCACCTAGAAATTTCAATCAATCAACTTTACTCAGAACTGCTGACAGCTATCATAGTCTGTTTTTACATGCCTTGACTGCATCAACCACTGCTGCTGCTAATGCTTTTCTTTCTCCCTTTATATTAATGTGTGAGTACGTCCCACACTATTTGTCTTTGGTCTTGCACCTCACTGAGAAATGATAAATTGCTGAAAGCCTTTTGAAGGCTTTCATTCTAAGAGACAGGGTGAAGCTGAATTTGCTTTCCCTGATTAGGTGTGTGGAGGAGGAGTAGGGTATTGTACAAGCTTGTGGAGATCCCTAATCCTCCCTATCCCTATAAGGGGATCCTGCCAGTGTCCAGTTCTGTAGCCTCTCTGATGTGTCTGGCAGGTTCTTTGCTCTGTGTTTTATGAAATTTCTGTGAAAAACTGGATAAAACTCAGTGACATCTGCTTTTGTCTTGTTTTAGCATATTCTCCTCAGCAGCTGTACTGCTATTAAGAAGTTTTACCTTTTTTTTTTTTGAGTGGCAAATACTAGTTTGTGTCTAAAAATTCAAGTAAAAACCCAAAAAAGTAATTATTTTCTTTCAACTGATAAAACCTTGCTAGTAATCTGTTTTTCATATATTTACCTAGTATACCACATATTCTATGTGAAGCAAAATGTCTTAATGCTTAATTTACATTACGTGCCTTTGCATGTTTACAAAGGATTCCATTACATTGAAAAAACAGATGTTACAGCACATCTTACTTGCTTTCAGGTGTTAGGTATATGGCCACAGTATCTCTCAACGCACAGATTTCAAGTCTTGCCTAAAAACAGTAATACAAATATTGAAACAATGATGCAATGTCCTTTCTTCAAGTGAAAATCAGTATCCCAAAACTTCATCTTTTTTAGAGGCAAATATCATTGCACACTGCAGTTGTAAGAAGCCTTGGCTTTTAACAGTTTGTTTCCTGTATTTTTGGTTGCCATGCTGCTATGTCAGGAGGCTGCTAGAAGGAACAATTTCATACTTTTGATTCAAGTCAAACTGTTTGTATGGTCACTATGTAGCAGTCTAAAAACATTAGTTTGTCTCTCAGTAACAGTAATAAATCTTCAGTTCTTTTCCATCTCTTCTGTACTGCGATAGAAAGATAGAAGGACGCTACCGTAATTTGTCTTTTTTTTTTTTTTTTTAATTAAATATTGTGAGTTTAACTTCTCACAGCACAGCTTGGCCAGGGAGGAAGGAAACAAAAGAGTACAAAAATCTGTCAATACACATTTTATTCTTGGTTTTCCTGTTGAATTTATTTTTTTCCATCAGATGAGGAAGTAGAATGGTTGTGCTCTGCTTCTTGTCTGTCACCTGGCGGGCACACAAGCTGGGGATTTTACTCCTGCACTGTACTGTGTGTCTAGGTATTGATTTTCACCTAGGCAAACTACAGTGGAGAATGAACTCAACAATTAAAGAAGTTTCATAGATTGTCCTTTAGTGTTTGAAAAGCAATCATTATCATCAGAGGTTTTATACGAAATACAAATATCCTGCGTGTGATCAATACTTTAAGTAATTTCATTTAAAAATATAAAGTGAACTTCATTCAAAGTCATATTCCATTCTTGTTCATCATAAAGACCCAATTTAATGCAGTTAGCCATTACAGAAACTGATCTACATTTAGACCCAACTAATATCACATTAATCTTCCAAAACAAAACTTTGTATAATGCAACACAGACATCTAATTCCAGTTCTAATGAAAGGCTTTTGCTTTCAGGTCTTCCCCTCATCTCTCCCCTACACAGGAAGCCAGCTGAGATTTATGCTTTTTTAGTGCCAGAATTTTCTGGCACAGAATACGACATAGCCACCCACCAATTTTATACTCATAAGAAATGCTTTTCTCACCACAGAATGTTTCACCTCTTTTTGTATGGTGCTCCAAGCTGAACAGCCTTGGACTTTTTGAAGTCCTACACATAAGATTCTGGAGTCTTTCCTCCATTTTAGGAGATAGCAGTACCATGGGGAAGTGTCACATTCTCAAGTACCACAGCCTAAATAAACACGGTGGAAGGGCAAACCCTGCAAAACTGTGGGTCATAGGATGTGGGACTACAGATTCAGGCTTCTCTTTGGGAATGGGTATTGTTTGATCAGTCTGACCAGGCTCAGATCACTCTCACACTGCTGCTGTCTCCCAGACAGGATTTTCTGTGTTCAGAGGAACAGAAAATGACCACGAGTGACAAATTTATAGAAGGGAGAGGTTATCCTTTCAATTATGAGTTTAGGCAGCAAGTTCATATGGTGGGCTGTCTAGTCAAACAAAAATGATATATGGGTAGCTTTGTTGCCATTCATTGATTTGGTTTTAAACAGGCAGTCAATCTTATTTGGCTGCAATCTTCCTACATTAATTCTCTGTCCAGTGCAATTACTACAAGCAACTGGAAAATAAGGCTTGCAAGTGGATAATTATTTTCCCATCATAATGCAAGAATGCTGTCACATACAATGAAATCTGGGAGTTTGCTCTTCTGGCCTGTTACAGCCATAGCAATCATTGACTCAAAGGGATTTTTTTTAAAATTATTTTTTCTTAGAGTCCTTTAAAACGTATTCAATAGTAGGTACAACTACCAACCCACCTGTAAATGAAGAAGGCAGTGTAAGAGTATCTGTTCTACCCATGCTGCAACAAAGTGCTCATGTAGAAATAGTATAACAGACAGGTGACTAGTTTTGCAAAGACTTGCAAGATCTTACCGCATCATATTTTCAAGATTTTTAAATCTCAAAATATCACGAAATTTATTCTTTTGAAAGTATTTTTTTGATCACAGGTCAAAGACTGTATTTAATGACATTTCAAACAGATACCATTACGATGTTTTTTTATCTTATAGGATATAGGTAAGCTTTTATGCACTCAGACACAAAGACAACACTAAAATATAATCAAACCCAAGAACCAGTATCCCAAAGGGTATTCATCCATAAATCTGAAATAGGTTGTATACTAATCCTTTTTATCTCCTTGCTTTCACTGCTACAATAAATCCAACAAATACACAGATTATACCTCTCTCTGTTATTCTCAGTTATCTATATTCAGATGTTTGGCAGTACAAAGTATTCAGGTACCTGTAAAGCTCCATTTTTGCTGAAGGATGAAACACACTGCATCAGTCGACTCAGTTCTTCAGAGACTGCTTCTACAACCCTTGACATTACCCGAGGAACTAAGTCTTTGGAAATGGTAAACACCTGATTTTTATGAAAGAAGAATCACGAGCACAATATCTATATTAACAGAAATATTTTCTACAGTAACATTTCAGTAAAAAGCATTAAACACTTTGATTGACAGGATCACTTCATTTTTACCAATGGACAAAAAAAATTTCAAAGCAACTGGAATATCAAGGGTTTCTTTTGATGCTTGCCCTGCGCTTTGACAAATCACCTCCGTTAACAGCAATGTTAGCTATATGATATGCAATAACAACAACTTTCTTGCAATGCCTAAAAGCAGCTAGGCTTCAAAATACGTGCTCTTGGCTGATGGACGCAGCTAGTCAGGCAGTTGTACATAGACTGCTGTTTTGTAGATAGCACCTTTAATTCAGGGTTGTGAGACTGACTGATTCAATTACACATTCAGCCACTTTTTACCCACGTATTTTGCTATTTTTTCTAGAATCCTTTATATTTGACCACTATCAAATGGCTAGTGTCTTTACACTCTGTGGCAGAGATAAGCCTTTGAAAGGGTTTGAGAGTACGGTAGTGTAGTGGATTTTCATTTAGATTCATCCACCACTGCCATTTATTAGTTCCCTGGCAAAAACATTACACCTACATCAAGACCATCTTTTTAAGTGCTTATTCCGAAAACTCTTTAAAGCAGTTCTTGGATCCTCCATTTGAGGTTTTGAATAGCAACTGTAACAAAACAGCAACACAAAGTTAAACATTAGATCTATGCCTGAAGGAAAGCATGAAGAAACCAATCTTCCTTAAAGGGAGCTTTAAGGAAGTGAGAAATTGTTGGTGAATTAAAAATTTAAAAAAAAGTATGATTTTTCTACACAGAACTGGGGAAAATGCAGGCCAAGAGGTTGGAATATAAGAGGAAGTGAGATTATAGGTTAGACAGACCAAACTTGTGTCAAGACTTAAAGGTGATGATAAAGCTGCACAGGGCTGGGGAAGAAGATGACACAAGGAACTGAAGATGATGTGACTGGAGTGGTGCAAGAAGGAAAATGAACTGCATAGAGTTTTTAGACACTTCCCTCCAGATCTGTGCTTTAAAATGATCTAAAAAATTAAGTAGTGAAATGATTTTTTGCTAGAATGCCTTTGCTTTATGTGAAGTTTAGATCTCCTATCTGACAAGGAAGTGTAGTAATTAACAGAAGATACTCATGTGTAAAACTCATGTTTACGTGTGTAAAAGTAAATTAAGGAGGGGGGGGGGGGGAAGAATTCAGTGATTTAAGTAATGAATTATGTATCAGGGATCTCATAAAGCTGACTGTTCCAAAAGGCAAGTCTGCACCATTGGCTAAGTACACTGACCACATATATGTCAGCTCTCAGCTGTTATCATCGCTAATTCAAACATGCAGCCTGTTTTAACTGTTTTGACCCACAAAAGGTCAGTAAATGACATACTTAGCCGTACAGTAAGAAAAAAACCAAACCAACCAGTAACAATTTGGGAAGGGGTCATCTTATTCAGCAGCAAATATTGCTGAGCAATTCAACACAAACATACCAGGAACACACCCAAAAATCTTCTACTGAGAAAGAGAATATTTGTGCCCACAACGAGCACTCTTGAAGTTACTATACAGAATCCAGGAAAAAAAATTCTCAGCAACGGTGAATCATCACAAATTTGCAATAAGCAGCTCTTTCTTTGATTTCAGTTAAATTTGAATTCAAAGGCAGAGAAACAATTTTCTTTCCACTTCAGTCCATCCTCGCTGTTCAGCTGATGGTTGATTTTTGCTGTTTCAAACTACAGAAACTTGCAGCTTTGCTAACTAAACTTAAATCTGACCCAGCTTACAGAATTTCTCCAGAAAACAGTGGAAATGGGAGTTTCATCTTGACACACATTTTCATATTTATGTAATATTTCACATCTAGAAATTTATGAGGCCACACTATTTGGGCCAAAATCAGTATCGGTCTCAATGAAGTCAGCAAGGCAGTGCACCTTGCTGCTGCAGCAATTTAACGAGTATGCATGTTTACAGGATTAGCTCAATAAGTCACAAATGCCTTTGAATTTTTTAAAGCAAAACCTCTCATTTTCATTTTTATTAATTTCCACTACACTGAAAAACAACATTAAAAATGAATGTCATGTTGGTATATATTTTTGGTGTTGCTTATTCCCTCATTCAGAAGCATTTGATAAAATCAGCAATGATTCTGTGAAAACTGCTGTAACTAAATACTGAAATTGAATCAAAAATATTGCAAGTGATATTTAAAGTTTCTGAAAATATTTTAATTTATATGAATCCTTGTAATTTAAGGAGCAATAAAATAAACAAAACTCTCAAGTGAATCTCATCAGATTTTAATTAGATGGAGAAGGTAGAGCAGCTATACTTGTGGTATTTTGAAAGGTAAGAGTGATATTAATAACAATGCTTATACCAGGAGCAATAGTAATCTTGATGATTAGAAGGAAGGAGTATGTAGAACAGAGGCTGTAATTTAAAGGACTATAGAAAATTGCTGCATATTATCACAAAAGGCCAAATAATTGCAGCTCTGCAAGCACATTATTTTAATAATAATATTTTAATTTTCATATGCACTCCCTATCATAAGCCTTTACCTACCTAAATATTTCAAACACAATTTGTGCTATACAGAGACTATAAAACTTTCTGGTTTTAGGTTTCCACTTTTTATCCTATGTACAAGAATGACATATATTGCCTTTTCACTCCGAGTCACATGTGTTGAACATCTCTTCCAAAGCAAAGCACAAGTTCATTTTCATATGTTGTGGAAAATAAAGTTAATCAGAGAAAGCAAGCATCCTCTCTCTCTCTCTGTCTCTTTAATCTGCATGAAAAGGGAAGAATTGATCTTCAGACTTTGGCTTTCCTCTTCATCAGACAGTGGAAATAAAAAGGTGTAATGGAGTGTTACTGAGGATAAACAGGAACTGTTCCTCTCCTCCTGCCCTTAAAAAAAGTTAGCAGTTGCATACTTGGTTGGCTAAACCTAACACAACGCATGAAGACACTTCAACAGAGCTACAATTTTCAGAGGTGATGAAATTTTCAGGATTTACCACACAAAGTACACTGAAATTATTCATATGAATGTAAGCATAAAACAATCTCAAGTTTTTCTCACCTCTGCATGCACAGCAATGATATTCACTAATGCTTCTTTCAAATAGTTTCTGACACCTGAAACAAAACAAACAGGATAATTACTTTCATTCTGTTGTCTCAATAAAGCCATAATGTTCTACTCTTCAATACCGTACTTTTTCTTTTCGTTCTTTTACTAGCACTTTTGCAATCAGAGGCAGAAAGAGAAAGTTCCATAGCCACACCACCAGTCTATTTCCTTTTTCAAATCAAATGGAGAAAGGCACATTTCCTTACAGCAAAAGGTTAAAGAAGCCAGCAGGTTCCTGTTTCAGTATTCTTCTTCTCTGGCAACCCAGCTTCACCAACTTTGAAATTTAATAAAACCCTAGTATTATTAAAAAATAAATTCTGGATGTCTTGCTAGAATACATGTACCGTGGCACAGAACATGCACTACAGCTTGATAATTTTTCTAAAGAAACAGAGAAGACAAGGGTTTTTGTTTGTACAACAGTCTTCAAGAAGATCTTACTACTTTATGAGCTTCTCTGACTGTAAATTACTATTATAGATAGAAATACCAAGGACTCTTGTTTCTCTGGGTGCAGAAGATATTACTCATGGCAGTTTATAGGAGATGTCATGCCTTAGTAGAAATTTCCTCTTGGGGAGGGTAGAGAAGTCAAATAAGCATTTTATTTGCCAAGCATATGAAATGCTTGTCAATTTATACTAAAAAGGGAATTCTTAACAGAAGGGCATCCAGCAGGGTATGCTTTAGTTAGGACAGCCTCTTAGTCCCCTACGCTGCTGTAATTCTGGAGTAACTTTACAGACCTGGACTTCAGTTGTGTAAGATCTAAAATAGGCAAAAAATGCCCCATTTGCTTTTCCGGGCACTTCACTTTGCAGGCAAAGGCAAATTAGAAAGCATTTAACTCATTAAAGTAGGCATAAATGTTGGAAGTGCAACACAAAGTAATGAGAGAGGGTTACCGATCCACGTGACCTCAACTTCTGATTTCAATTGTTCTAGCATGAATCAGAGAAAGTGCAATGGCCCCATCGCTCCCTTTGGTATATTCAGTTGACAATAAAAGATCAGAATCATGGACAAAGACTGGTGAGACCACACAGCTCAGAGATCACAACGTGATTAAAGCTGCTGTTATAAAAATTACAAAGTGAACCTTTAATCAGTTCATCTTACTTGCTCCACCTTTCCTCAGATAACACCGATGCAGCACCTTAATCCTGCTACGAAAAATAGCTTTAAAAGGAGTTAGCCGAGATCAACAAAATGAGTTATTCTATGGGAGAACAGAGTCAAGTCTCACAACTGCCATCTCAGTTGTGCTCTTTTTTTTTTTTTTTTTCACTGCTGGTCCCACAACTCGCTTCAAGATCTGAAAAAGAGACACTTGTCCTTTCTTACTCGGACAATTATAGACAAACATTTTATAAGAGCAGGACGAAAGGATGACAGGACCCCCCTCGCATGAGGTACAAACACTTTCATCACCTGCGCCTACACTGCTCAACATGATGCAGCTTGGAGTTTAGATTGGAGAGTGCTTCCTGGAGGGCATCACGGGTCTCCTGTTGGAAGCGAGGGTGCTTGGGGGAAAGCGGAGGGAGAGATGTTGAACAGTGACCCTGGTTCCAGTGTGCAAATCAGGATGTAGCTGAGCTCTGCACAAGACAGTCTGTTTCAAAAGTTCATAGCGAAGAGGTAAGCATCAAAGAAGATTTTACTGCTCTCACTAAAAGCAGTTTGGTTTCTGAACATAGAAAAGAATCAAGACCTTTTGAGAAGGAATGTACTATTGTCACTCTGCAAGAGATGCAAATAACTGGAAAAGGTGGAGAAAAAAACCAAGCCTTTCCCCACACATTCCAAAACATCTCTAATGCCTTTTCTCACTCGCTTTATTCTTTTCGTTGAAAAAAATCTCAGTCACTTTTTCCATTTAACCTAAACCAACAAGTCCAACAGCATAGTATACTAGGTTGCAAGCTTATAATTTCTCGTTATCTTAGTGATTTTTTGCAACAAGAAAGGAAGGGAGGGAGGAATAGGGCAATACCAGAAATTTTCTGAAACTGACTTTTTTTTCTCCTCCCCTGTAACCTGCAAAACAAAGTAAGAATGCTATGCGCCACTACTTGAACCACACCAAAAGATCACAGGTATATGTGGAAATGCAACACCCCCTTCCTTTTTCCTCTTCTACTGTTTTCCTTCTTCTACTTCACTCTGCCCCAGTTTAAATCTTCCGCAGGCTTCATATCACAGAGGACAAAATTTGTATCACGTCCCACAAGCAAATACAACTTGACCAGGCACCGAACAGTGGTATGCAAATCACACCAAGAGGTACAGGGCAAATTTGGGAGCAGGTTTGCAGTTAACCTCAGGGTGCAAAGTGTCGATTTTGGTCTGCAAACCCATGCGGTATTCAGCTTTTGGCTGCTTACCGGCCTCATCTTGTGACAGCAGGACCTTTCATGTGGAAACTGTGTGTTTTTACTTTTGCACAAGATTAAGACTTTGATAGTCTCCCTTCTCTGTGGATACCTGAGCGCTGCCAGAGCACGTTCATTAGTCAATCAAAATTTCACTCGTGAACTAAACAGCATTTCTTTGCCCCAACTGATCGTTCTCTAAGGAAGCATCTCACTCAAACCCTGGTGCAGCCGGGGAGCCATAATGAAAGTACAGAGATGGGGCTGCTATGTCAAACAGAGAGGGCAGGTGTGTGTCCTGCAGAGAGGAGGTCAGCTGGCTGAGCTGGGAAGAAGTGGTATCAAGGAGGCGAGTGAAAAGCTGGAATGTATGGAAACCGAAGTGGGTGTGTTGCGTAAGAGGCTGATGTGGTTCCGAGGAAGAATCCTCGTTTCCCACCCGTCCCACCTAAGCTCCTGAGGTAGCATGCCTCTTCTCGTGCATTCATGCAACTTGGCTCAGGATAGGAGCTGCTACTTCTGTCTGCTGCTGCTGAGAGCAACCAAATTAAACAACTTTTAACTGTGCTAGTAAAAGTTGCCTATCAACTATGTCTGTGGAAACCTTCCATAACATATTTCTTAAAGAGTCAATCACTGAGTTACCATAACCAGTTAATTTCTACAAGCATGAAATACTAAGATCAGCAACATTAGCACCAGGTGTTAAATACCACTGTCTGGTGGTGCACACCTAAGATATAAAATGGTCATTTATATCTTCTAACTGAAGAATTCAGAATGAATTGACTAAATGGAATTGAAATGGAACTTATGGTAAAAATGAAGTGACAGTAGCTTATTATCACATATTGCTAGCCCATCCCAGCTGTACGATAAAATTGTTAACTTAAACCTCAGTGAAAGGGCATAAACAGACGTATTTTATCTTGCATCCTTGTACCACGTACAAAGATAAATGGGTGAACTGAGAGCTTAAAGGAGACTATTTCTTGCAATCCCAGTAGCACTAATTAGGTGTTCCTGACCTTTCATAGCAGGTCCCGTCCTGCTGTGACTGGAGGATCAGCGGGTTTAGCACAAGCTCAAGTATTTCCTCAGTTTCTCAGACAGGTTTTGCAATTTAAGGGCGGATAATTCAGCACAAACTGTGCAAAGCTATGCAGTTTACAGACAGTCCGTGTATAGGAAACTTACAGTAGTTGCCGTAACTGCAGCATCTAATAGTTAAAAGACCTTGTTTTGGTAAGCTAAATAAACCAAAGATGGAAAGAAAATGCAATTGCACTCCAAAAACGCCAGTAAGTGGAACCAGACAGGGAGAGAAGGGAGAACTAGCTAAGCTGAAGAACAATACTGGCACAAGAAAGAAAGGTATAAATGAATTGACCATCAGTAAACTTAGGCTGGAAATTAAAGGTAACTGTGTAACAGGTTTGCTCTGACTATGCTATTAAATATGCGGCGTTGTGACAACCATTGCTGCTGGGGAGTCAGTTTCCTATCATGAATACAGCACAAGTAAAAAGGGTATTTCCCCCCAGCCCTTCTTTTTTTCTTATTTGTCAAGGACTTTCATTTTTGCATGTGGAGACAAAGCCAAACATATCTGAATGTCAGGACCTGCAGGCATAGTTAATAACTGTACTATATTTTGAAAAATTACAATTAAAAAATATCCAATTTCTGATTTATATCACTGCACTGTTTGTGACAGGCTTTGTTGAAGCAAAGTATTACTTTTCTGGAGTATGATTCACTGGAAATACAAGCAGTGGCATCCAACTGTGAATATGTTGTGAAATTCATTTCAAAATGAAAGAATTCTGTCTAGAATAGAATTTTTGTGCAGCTTTCTTTACGACTCTTCAGCAGCCCACGCAATTACAGTTTTTGGGACACCATGCTGCCAGGCCTATTATACAGCACTGAAAGCTAACGCACCATATAACTGTAGGTTGCAACTGTTAGGCTAATCAAGTGAAACATAACATTCTTAAGTCTAAAATACCTCTTATTTAGCATATTGAAGCACAAATACAATGCCTTTCCATAGCTTCTGACAGAAATGTGTTAAAGAAAGTCTCAACAAACCCTTGCAATTTCTCTCAGGAAAATGTTATTATTCTGTTACAGCATAAATGCATTCCACTCCCACTCTATTCTTAACACCGAAGACTCTGACTTGCTGGAATTCTAGCTGCAACTAACAAAGCCCTAATACTGCTCTTAAGAAAAATGGATGGGAAGGACATAAACATGAAGGACAGTTTCAGCCATCAACTGTCACAATGGCTGACAAAAACTTTAAAATAGCACCTTCCAATTTTGGGCACTCCACTGTACTTTTTACTGGTGAAGCATCTAGCAAGATTATCCATTAAATTTAACCTCCAGTTCACATCACCTATTAGTTTTATTTATTTATTTATTACAAATTAAATCTGTCAGAAAGTCTACATTTACAAGCAATTTTAACAGTACCATAAAGCTGTAGCAAGGATGACCGCGTGAACTATGGGAAAAGCAGAAGGGAAAAAGATTTGTGGTTCTGAGGAGTAACAGAAACTAAACTTCTAGCTTGCCAATGCAGGAGTCATGCAGGAGATCTTCAGATGGCGTAGTGC